CAAAATAAACCATTTTGAACACTTTTTTATTATTATTTATCAAAAAAATATAGTTCTGGCATAAACAATGTTAAATTTTAACTGACTTAATTTTGCGAACGCATCTTTTTTATTTATATGGATATCTTAAGATCAGTTTTTGCGCTAATGTTGCTAATGCACTATTTGAGCGAAAAAAAAAATTAAGGAAAAATTTTCTGTTAGCGAACCCTTTGTTAAATATTTCGAATATCACCACTGTACGCAACCTCACCAGTGATGATGGAATGTCAGAATTCACATGAAAAAAAAAATGACAATACACAATAGAAATAAATCCACATTAATTATTAATTAAAAACTTATTATTTATTACTGGCTAAAGACTGACTTCAATACCACCCGCAATCAGCAAGAGAACTTCAGAATCCATGTAAAATTTAAATTTTAGCCATGCAATAAAATTGTTTCTAAGTCTGAAAGTTGAATGTTTGTAAGTAGGAGAGCTCCTGTATTATAAGGTAAAAATAAAATGTTTATTTGACTCACTAAAATAATATACTATTCTGATATATTAAATAATTTCTCAACAAACAAAACAAAAAGTTAATTAAAAGTTTGCATACAACTGAATCTAATGAATGAAACAATCTCTGCTCAGTGAGGAATTGTATATGAAATAAAAATTATAAATAAAAAATATTTCAATTTTTACTTAAAATTTTCAAAAATTAACATAACAACAATTTTTATATTTTTATCATTTTCTTATAACTAAAACATAATAATAATAAAAATTTTGAACTTAACAGAGACATTTCTTCAACATCCATAAGAGGAGAAGCTGCTGCACATAAAGCATCTGCATTAGCAAGCAACACTTTTCCAATGAGACTATCTTTATTTAGATTAGGCCACATAGGAAGTGACGCAAGAGGATTAATTATAGGAAACTCTCTGTTTTCTGGTGGTATTGTTTCTGGAGATTTAGTTTTCTCTCTGGATTGTATTGGCAAAAGAGGCATTCCTAAACAAGGTGCTCCCAACTGCAATCCAATATTTCCAACATATTTTAATGTTGAACCACTACTAATTCGTCTAGAAGCTGTTGGTGATTGAGCTGGTTCATCTATATTAAATAGAAACACACATTTATCATACGTATTACCATTTGCTAAATTAAAATTATATTTTATAAAATTTCTTTATCATCTTTGTTATATTCTGTATATTGAGTTACATATTAAATAATGAAAGGTGTATAGATAAATATCATTTTATGGCATATAAGGTCATTTCAGCAAAAAATATTTAGGAAAAGGTATTTAATGTATTTAAGCCATCTTACACCTTTGGCACTTGATACCACTTATTTTTTAACTGTATTCCTGGTTTACAAAAAAAAACCAGGTTAATTTTTTAACAGGTTAAATTATATATTAAACTTTCTAATATAAAAAATATTTAATATTTATTTCTAATATTAAAAAAGTATGAAAACTGTAATAATAAGTAATAGTTTATTGAATCTGATTTGATCACTGAATCTATAAAATCATGATTTAAATAATAAGATATAATAAGATCAGTTGGCATTTATATTAGATTTTAATTAGGATTTATTTGAAGCTAGCTTATAGTAATAAAAGTTATAGAAATCCAAATTAAAAATAATAAAGACAAGAATTGAAATATAACTATCATACCAAGTAAAATGGGCTGTTCTGGAGGAGATGATGATTCTGGAGTCTGTCTCTGTGGAGAAGGACTTGGGGTAGGATAAGGAGAAACTATAGGAGATGTAAGATTAAGATAAGGTCTGGGTGAAGGGCAAGGGGAATTATCAACACTTGCACCACCTTCAATTGTTGGTAATGTTACTTGTAAAGTATCTTTAAGAGGAGCTCCAACACTCTGGCCCATAGATATCCCCCATGNTTGTGTTTCAATAGAGTACGTCAACAGAATGTACACTAACAAGAAATTTTTCAATATTCCCCCCACAGGGGAAGTGTTATAAATTTATAATAGATACATTTTGAGCCACAACAATGCGTGGCGGGGTCTGCTAGTATATATATATATATATACAGGGTGTATCAAAAGTCATTATCTATTACAAGAACTAATTGGAATTATGAGAAAGGGTTTACATATTTTATATGTTTAGTAATAAGGTTTAAAATATCATTGTCAACACATTTGTAGGTAGGAATCACTGGATTGGTCTTGGTAGACCACAATTATGGGTAGCTAGCTCCCCAATTTAACAATCTTAAATTTTTATGCTAGGGGTTTCATTAGGTCTAAGGTGTACACTGGTAGGATAATTAGCGTCCGAATCCATAGCGCCAATGAATGTATCCCGTATCAGTTCATTCAAGAAAACACCTTACGACGCAACAGCACTTCCAGCAATCACAAATTATCGTTAGTGAGACAAATCTACTTCTCGTTGACCAGACGATATTTATCTCTCCTTAGCAACCTTGAATTTTCCAGCTCAAACTGATCTTATATATGCGCTACGGCGACCGGTGGTCGACCAATCAGTGTCTTTGCTCGTCCGTAGCTCTACGTCGGGTTAACATATCCTTTCAAGTAAGGAAAGCTTGACGGATGAAGTTTGTGAGTTAGACAATGTTAGGAGCGAAGTGCAAATGTAAAAAGGAGCATCATATTCAACCATATTCCAAAATTCTTAATGAAAGAAATCAAAAATGTAAACAATTAAAAATGGATACTTTTTTCCAAAAAATGTACGAAATTCGAAACTAAAATTTTTAAATAAAAACATTTAACTTTATTTTATGATAAAATACATTTTAAAAATTAAAAATTTATATGTATTTTGTATTATATTGTATTAATAAACAAAATTATTAGCTTATTTTTCACTTATGTAGAACCTAACCCTATACCTCACTGTAAATATGGGTTCGTTTTACGCTGATTCAATTTGCACTGGCTTTTGTAGGAACGGAACTGCGGTGTAAACCGAGGGCTACCTGTATATTTTAAAAGTTTGTTTTAATAAAAAAATTGTAACACAGTGACATCTAGTATCAAAAACGTTCCGATATAAACATGAAAATATTTGGGATCACCCACGCAGGTCAATGAGGTCAACACGAATATTTTTGGGAACAACGTAGGACAGGTTAATGGCTTGCACAAAAACTTAAATGTCTGATGCTGTCACATGATGAAAATGTCATCTTTATATATCTTATAGAGCAGGATGTTTGGGAGAAAAGGTGGAAGGATCTTATGCTCAAGTTGTCTAGTGACCATTTCGCACGGGTCCCCAGACACTAGGCTACCATGGGGACTCCTCTTTTTTGCTTATAAACAATTCCATCCCCGTTAAGGATAGCAGATGGGACAAGGGCATAATATATATTGGTTCCGCCAAGCACTCCTTAAATACCAGAATATGGGAGTACCAAGCAGACCTCCAGCATGGGCGACACACCACTGCCCGGCCACTNTTATTAAAAAAATAAGATTAGTTAATTTATATTAATATGTTGATATTTACACATTAATTAAATCAAATCTCTAAATAAATAAAGAAATTAAATTATCAAAAGAAATTCATCAAAATTTGAAAGATGTTTTGATTAAAACAAATCCAAGAACATACCATGCATTGAAAGAATATAAATACCATACAAATAAATTTTTCTCAACTTTCATAAAATATACAAAGACTGATTAGAAAGTAAATTTTTACTACCCATAAAATCAAAAGCATGATTTCAATAGCATAAACTAATAACACAATAATAAATTTATCAGTGATATGCTCTGTTTTAATGTGGTTCTCTTGATAATTGAAGTCTTGTCCTAATGTGTGATAACTTTGTCCACTGTGTCATCCCCGACTTTGTATAATTAGCCATTTTATATTATTTTTTTCGTGTTTTAATTATTGTTATTTGTATTTGTCACACTTCGGGAAATCAGTGTTAAAAAAAAATTTATATTTTCTTTTCTTGTCTGTAAAATGATTGGTAGCACTGATAGTGGTATGCAGGCAATATATATGTGAAATAAAGGACAAACAACCATCTTTTGTCTGTGTGACTCGAGCGGGAACAAAGCAAGTACTATGAGTGTTGGACAGGACTCTTCCCTGGTTGGCATATACATGAAAGACCCTGTTCCTTGTTATTATTTTGTGGGAAATAATAACAAGGTATATACAAGGTATCTATAAATATTTTTATATAAATGTATATAAACTTTTACATCTCTAAACATTGATATATTGTCTCCTTCATCACATGGTGACTCCACACACACTGAATAGCCCTACAAGTATTTCAAAGTCTATTTGGTTTTTCATACCATGCTACCCAATTGACTCAAATTATATGAATGTGAACATAGAACACTATCATAAATATTAGGGATGAATTGAATATGTCTAATAGCTGAATATCAAATAATTATTTGGATGTTATTGTTTTCCCAAATATTGAATATTCTTGCTTTTCCTGGCTACTGAATACTGGATATTTGGCCAAATATCAACAGATTTACTACACTTGGAACTAGATGGAAGGCTTAGAGCACTGTTTCCAAGCTTTTTGAAACCATCCCTTTTCAGTGTGTATATTTCATTAGCATTTCCTATAAAAGTAGTAAAAAATGATAAACTGAAAATTAAATTTTAATAAAAGCTTTAAAACAAAAAAATAATTGTCCAAAATTATCTCAAAGTACATGATTAATTAATATGAAAATAATTAATGATATGCCTGATGCAATGAGACTAATTTTTCCACAAATGGCTCAATATTAGTAAGCAGTAAATCACTGTTCAACTATTTGAAGTCAGGGTAAGATGACAAGCACTTGTTATATTAAATAGTATGTTGATAGATTCTTTCAAATATTACAAGAAGATGCTGCTTTATGCAGTGTTTCCAGATTTATATCCATGAGGAAAAAATTGGGACTTTTGAAATTAAACTTCTTACATGGAAAAACTTTTACTGCAGAAGCTTCTTAACTGAGTTATACTATTTATATAGTATAATTCAGTTAAGAATAATGTAAGGTCTTGTTTTATGCGGTGGATACGTTCTACAGAAAAGCGCATATAAAAAATTCACATAAAAAAAGACTTTACTTGCCTTGAAAAAGTAGGGATATGTTCCGTAATTTTCTAAAATCGCATAAAACCAAAACAACGAGTTAAAATTAACTTAAAACCGCATAAAAAAGTTTGCAGAAATTAAAAGAAATAGGCTGCTTATTACTGCAACTTGAAATCAGCAAAATTTAAACTCGCTACTTATTATAAAAATGAACAAAACACCGCTAATATAAAATTTAATTTCAAAACAATTACAGTTTATACCTTTCAATGCGAAACTCAGAATGATGTAATAGCGACTTGTCGATGGTATCATGTACAAGGGGAATCCCCGAATTGCAAAAGCTCACTCTAAAAACAAATCACTGACATCTGGATGTGAAGAGTTAATTAAAACCCCTTTAGTTCCTCGCCCGAGTTAACTCGGGCAGGTTACATAGCGTTACATAAAACACGGTCCTTAAGGCCATTTTTAAAATTTTTTTTTTGAATTTTTGGAATGTTTTTTAAGTCTCCAAATTTTTTAAAAATATTTAAAAATATACGGCCAGCTAGTGTTCACCCTACTTTAAACCCTTGTCCTCCCGCGACGTCTATGAGAATGCCCCGGGAAATCCAACTCCAGCTGTGTTCAAGGTCATCCAGATGTGTAAACAATGACTCATCGGTGTTAAATTTCACAGAAGGGCGAGACAAAGGAAGTTAAACTTTGAAGCTTTTTCTTCAAAATTAACGCATTTCTTTCGTTTTTTTCAGTTTTAAGTATTTTTTATGTTTAATTACATTTATATCAAAAATTGCTAGGAACTAAAGCGATTAAGGTAGATCTAGCTGTCCTTTACATCCATAAACGTTATATGTCAGTGGAACAAATGGAGTGAGCTTTGAGCGTTCCACAATTTTTGGAGACTGTCTATACGCGGGCTTCCTAAACAAGCCTATATGTATGTTTGTCCAAGAAATTTTTGGATGAAATACAAACCGCACAACTTCAAAATCGCATAAAAATAATCCGCATGAAAAGAGACCTTACAGTAGTTACTATATAAATAATAAAATTTATAAATAATTCAATTTATATAGATTAGCCAAAAAGTTGCTTGCCAAATGAGGGTAATTACTGTTCTTATTGTTTCAGGTGCAATAACACCGACACCTGAACAACAAGTGAAGCTTATTTTATTACATGGAGACAATCATAGAGCAATACTGGATGCTGCACAAAAATTCCATCATTGCCACTCAAACTTTCCACAACCTTTACATCATGCTGTTGGCAATATCCTAGCAAAAAATTCAGTGTCCTGGATGTGAAAAGTGCTGGTCAGCCACAATCAAATGAATGAAGATTCATGTGCAGCTGTTTTGGCTAAAGTGCAAAGTCCTACAAGGTCCATACATTATATTGCTAGTGGGAGTAGCATGTTTAAAGTCAGTGCAACAAATATTGAAGGACAAACATTTCCAGCTGTATAAATTGCAGTAAATGCACATGATGGATGATGGTGATCCCTGCAGAAACTTGTGTACTACAAGTAGATCAGTAGATGTGTACAGTACATGTGGATCATGACTTCAATCAGAAAGTAATGTTCAGTGATGAGTCCATCTTCTTCTTGGATGGCCATGCTCATACACAAAATGCATAGTACTGGTTTTATGAAAACTGTCATTGGATGCTCCTGTACAACAATCCTGGTGCTCCAAGAGTTAGGGTATAGACAAGTATTCTGGAGAACATTATTGTTGGTCTGTACTTCTTTGAAAGTACTAATCAACATGCATAAAAACATTCTGGATACAACTGTGCTGGATTTCCTGGAT